TCGCCGGGTTCTCCTACCTGGAAGGAGGCAGTTTTAGCTGAGGAAGGTTGTCTGGATGGGCCCTCCATGGTTCCTTCCCACCAGAACTTCTCAGCCACTGGCAAGGAGGCAGCCAGGGACCTGGCACCTCTCATCCCTTGGTCTCCTGCTCCCCTTCTGGTTGGGCACGAAGTGACACACATGTGTGGGCATCTCTGCCAAGCCACCTCTACCCAGGATTTAGCTGGAGTTGTGAGGCTCGTTGACCCAGAGAACGTGATTTGGGGAGACGCCAAGGCCTCCCCTCCCCTGACGGGACTGGGGGCAGAAGTTCTGGCCTCTCCAGTGTGCAGGGAGAAAGGTTTTGCCTGATAGGTTCCTGCCCTCATCCTAGGATCAGCCCAGGGACTTAGCTTCCCTAGCGGGTTTCTGGAGTGGAGCGTGGGACTGGTCAGAACCTCACCACGAGTTAAATAACAACTGGGTAGAGGTTAAAGGTAAGCACGCACGCAGGCAGGCGGGTGGGAGGGGAGAGGGCTATGCTTGGGAGGGCTTCCAGACCTTGGGGCTGGCTTTATCTGGCCTCTTCCAGGCCTCCTTATCCCAGCCCACCCACCTTACAGTTAGGGCCCATTTTGCCCTTGCCCTGCCAGGGTGAGATCCTGGCCAGGGAGAGGAGTACACAAAGGACAGGGTGGACACGGGACACCCTTAAGAGTCCAAGTCTGCTGGAGGAAGAGGCTCTGTTTCACCAAATCATTTGGGCAAAAAGAAGCCAGGTAGCAAGGAGTGGTGGCAGGCGTCCTTAATCCCCGCTATTCGGGAGGCTGAGGCAGAAAATCGCTTGACCCCAGGAGGTGGTTGTAGTGTGCCGAGATCGAGCCACTGTGATCCAGCCTGGGCGACAGAGAGTCTGTCTTAAAAAAATAAGCCAGACGCGGTAGCTCACGCCTATAATCCCAGCACTTCGGGAGGCTGAGGTGGGCAGATCACGAGGTCAGGAAATCGAGACCATCCTGGCTAACATGGTGAAACCCCGTCTCTATCAAAAATACAAAATAGGCCGGGCGCGGTGGCTCAAGCCTGTAATCCCAGCACTTTGGGAGGCCGAGACGGGCAGATGGCGAGGTCAGGAGATCGAGACCATCCTGGCTAACCCGATGAAACCCCGTCTCTACTAAAAAAAAATGCACAAGACGGGCGAGGTGGCGGGTGCCTGTAGTCCCAGCTACTTGGGAAGCTGAGGCAGGAGAATGGCATGAACCCGGGAGGCAGAGCTTGCAGCGAGCTGAGATGGCGCCACTGCACTCCAGCCTGGGGGACAGAGCGAGACTCCGTCTCAAAAAAATTCAAAATAGCCTGCCATGGTGGCAGGCGCCTGTAGTCCCAGCTACTCGGGAGGCCGGGAGGCAGAGCTTGCAGAGTCAAGATTGCGCCACTGCACTCCAGTCTGGGCGAGAGAGAGAGACTCCATTTCAAAAAAATAGGCCGGGCGCGGTGGCTCACGCCTGTAATCCCAGCACTTTGGGAGGCTGAGGCGGGTGGATCATCTGAGGTCCAAAGTTCGAGACCAGACTGACCAACATGGAGAAACCCCGTCTCTACTAAGAATACAAAAGTAGCCGGGCGTGGTGGCGTATGCCTGTAATCCCAGGTACTCAGGAAGGCTGAGGCAGGAGAATAGCCTGAATCCTGGGAGGCGGAGGTTGCAGTGAGCCGAAATGGCTCCCCTGCACTCCAGCCTGGGCAACAAAAGTGAAACTCCGTCTCAAAAAAAAAATAATAATAATAATAATAATAATAAAATAATTCTATTGAGGTGAAGGGTTAAGTTGTAACATACTTGATTCCCTCAGCCCTTTTTGGCTGTTTTACTACAGTCCCTATTTTGATGGTTATGCTAATATTTGTGGAAAGAGATCTTGTATTTGCTGCATTATAATGACATCAGTACTTCTTCAGCTGGTTTAAGTACAAATGAATAAAACCATTTTTCCTTTAAAAAAAAAAAAAACACCAGGACGTGACTCCAGGCTCTTAAACAAAAGGCCAGGACACAGAATTCAGTCCCCCTGCAGGGTGACATCCCGAGTTCATCCCCACGAGCTGGTGAAGGCCTTTCTCATCTGCACAGCCTCCCTGGCCATGTGTTCACTGCATTCGCTCCACTGTATCCCAGAGACTCACACGTGCCAGGTGCTATCTAGGTGCCAGAAACATGGTAAAACCCCACAGGGCCCTGCCCTCTGGGAGCCTTTATTCCAGTCCACATACCTCCCTCCACAGGTGGAAACGGCACCCATGTCACACCAGAGCCTGAGGCCAAAGCTAGAGAACCCTCGCCTGACTGGCCAGTCCCTGTTCCTCCCTGGGGTAGACTCTGGGGAAGAGGGTGAGGACGAGCTCGGGTCAGCAGCTCCAGGGTTTAGCACCTGTCTTGGTTGTTTTAAAATGTAGCTTAATTGGCCGGGCGCGGTGGCTCACACCAGTAATCCCAGCACTTTGGGAGGCCAAGGTCGGAGGATCCCTTGAGCTGAGGAGCTGGAGACCAGCCTAGGCAACAAAGCAAGACCCCATCTCTAAAAAACATGTTTTAAAAAATGTTTAAAAATGAAAAGATGGCTCCATTGCATAACAAATGTATTAGTTAACCAACTATGAGGAAACACCGAGAAACATAAAGAACCACACACTCTGTACAAAGCTCCCCAAAGGCTTCCCAGCCCTTGGCACTTGTACCCACACCCCCGCCCCAAAAAGCCTTGATTTCTGCTTCCATGTCACGCTGACCCCTCAGCTCCCCCCAACTCTTCCCCTTACCCCACTTTATTGTTTTCCATGGAACTCAATCAAACCAGTTTGGACCTACTGGAAGGTGAGCTCCACTGGGGTGGGGGTGGGCCACCGTTTCCAGCTGTATTAAGTCCCGAACAGGACGGCCCTTGGAAGACGCACCTAGTAAGTATGCTCAATGAATATAATGAGACCATCAAAACTGCAGTGAGGGTTCAATGACATAAAGACTATCATTGTCTAATTGCTCTTTAAAAATTCCTGTAAGTGGAATTGCCGAGTCAAAGAACATGAACCTTTTAGAGAAGCTTCTTATCCTTCAAAGACAATACAATTAGGCCAGCCCTGAGTTTTCCCACTCAATTCCTACTGACTGCTGTCAGGACACCTCACAATAGCTTTAATTTGGATTTTTTTTTTTTTTTTTCTGATAAGTCTCGCTCTGTCACCCAGGCTGGCAAGCAGTGGTGCCATCTCAGCTCACTGCAACCTCTCTCTGCCTCCTGGGTACAAGCGATTCTCCCACCTCTGCCTCCCAAGTAGCTGGGATTACAGGCATGCGCCACCAGACCCGGCTAATTTTTTAATTTTTAGTAGAGATGGGGTTTTGCCATATTGGCCAGGCTGATCTCAAACTCCTGTCCTCAGGTATCCACCTCGGCCTCCCAATGTTGGGGTTTACAGGCCTGAGTCACTGCACCCAGCCCTGATTTGGATTTTTCTTTTTGAGACGGAGTCTCGCTGTCGCCAGGCTGGAGTGCAATGGCACAATCTCAGCTCACTGTAACCTCTGCCTCCCTAGTTCAAGTGATTCTCCTGCCTCAGCCTCCCGAGTAGCTGGGACTACAGGGATGCACCACCATGCCCAGCTAATTTTTTTTTTTGAGACAGAGTCTCGCTGTGTTACCCAGGCTGGAGTACAGTGGTTCGATCTTGGCTCACTGCAACCTGTGCCTCCGGCCTGGGTTCCAGCAATTCTCCTGCCTCAGCCTCCCACATAGCTCGGACTATAGGCCCCCACCACCACGCCCAGCTAATTTTTGTATTTTTAGTAGAGATGGGGTTTCACAATTTTGGTCAGGCTGGTCTTGAACTCCTAATCTCGTGACCCGCCCACCTCGGCCTCCCAAAGTGCTGGGATTATAGGTGTGAGCCACTGCACCCAGCCGATTTGGATTTGACTACTAGTTATACTGGGTTGAAGTGGCCCCCTGAATTCATGTCCTCTCCAAACCTCAGAATATGACCTTATTTGGAAAGAGGGTCTTTGCAGATGTAATCGGTTAAGATGAGGTCGCACTGGGTCAAGGTGGCCCCTAAATCCATACTGGTGTCCACATATGACAGACACATAGGCCGGGCGTGGTGGCTCATGCCTGTAATCCCAGCATTTGGGGAGGCTGAGGCAGGTGGATCACCTGAGGTCAGGAGTTCGAGACCAGCCTGGTCAACATGGTGAGACCCTGTCTCTACTAAAAATACAAAAATTAGCCAGGCGTGCTGGCAGGCGCCTGTAATCTCACCTACTAGGGAGGCTGAGACAGGTGAATCGCTTGAACCCAGGAGGCGGAGGTTGCAGTGAGCCAAGATCATGCTCCAGCCTGGGCAACAAGAGCGAAACTCCACCTAAAAAAAAAAAAAAAAAAAAAAAAAAGACACAGAGGGAAGAACGCCATGTGAACACATGCAGAGACCGGAGTGACACAACTACAAGCCTAAGGGATGCAAGGACTGCCAGCAGTCACCAGGAGTCTCAGGAATGATTCTCTCTCCCTCAGATCCTCCAGAAGGAGCCGACTCTGCCACCAATAACTTTGGAACAGAATAAATGTGTTACTTTAAGCTAGCATGCTTGTAGCAATTAGTTACAGCAGTCTCAGGAAAACAAAAACATCAATCAAGAATTTTTTCCTTGGCTGGATGTGGTGGCTCATACCTGTAATCCCAGCATTTTGGGAGGCCTAGATGGGCAGATCACTTGAGGTCAGGAGTTCGAGACCAGCCTGGCCAAGATGGCAAAACCCCATCTCTACTAAAAATACAAAAATTAACTGGGCGTGGTGGTGGGCGCCTGTAGTCCCAGCTACTCAGGAGGCTGAGGCAGGAGAATCGCTTGAACCCGGGAGGCAGAAGTTGCAGTGAGCCAAGATCATGCCACTGCACTTCAGCCTGGGAAACTGAGTGAGACTCTGTCTCAAAAAAAAAAAAAAAAAAAAAAAAAATTTTTCTTCTTTCATTGGCCTTTTGTGTTGTGGTCTGGGTCAGTTTCTGTAAATGGACAGTTCTGGTCAAAGGTTTTGCCAACCTTCCTTCCTGGCCCCACTTCAAGATCTCTGCCCGTAAGAGGATATAGGAAATTGACCTCCAGAATGTCTCTTCCCAACTTCAGGCTCACAGAAAACGTGCCCGCCAGAATATTCCGCTCCTCAGAGGGTCCCAGATATTCTACCTTCAGCCTGTATTTTTCTCCCACACACTCCCCATCCCTGTTCAAACTACTGCCACCTTCCAAGACCCCTGTGATCCCTCCACCCTCTGCACACTTTCTCTCTCCGGCCTGCCCCAGGCCCTCTACCCAGCAGCCTGAGGGACCATCCTTCTCAGGTGACAGATCAAATTGTCACTCCAGTGATCTGCCCAGCTGGGTCACCACTGCAGCCACAGCAGCTCGCAGCAGGTCCTCGCCAATTCCCTCACCAGGGACATGAGATGCGTTCTGGAAGGCACCCAAGAGGAAAAACAGACAAAGGTCCTTTACAATTATGTAAGAGAACAGGAACTGAGATAAAAGAGTCAAGACCTCCAGTGACTTCACAATCAAGTCCCAATGGTCAGGCCCAACCTGCTGACTGTGGGGGAAGAGTTGGTGGCATGTGCGCAGAACAAAACACACATCAACTCCTGGAGGAAAAAAAAAAAAAAAAAAAAAGAAAAAAAAAACCTTTTAATTCTAACGGACCAAACTGTGCCCAGGAATGTCTCCAAACAATGGAACCAAAAGAAACACGATAAAATTCTCCTGCTGAAGAAACCAAGAGTTTGTGCCAGCCCCAGTGCTTCTGAGGGTTAGGCCAAAAACAGCCCATTCCTGAGGCCAGCCCTGTCCCCACGCAGGGTTCTCAGCCCAAGAATATGATTGTGGGTGGGTAAGGGACCTGTCCCCTCTTCCACCATGCTGGGAGCTCTTAGAACAAGTCACTGGTGGGAGATCCCCTCCTCCTACCCCATGGAAACCCTCTGGGCACCATCCAGAAAGCCAGCGACGACAGGACAGCCCCGATACCCTCCTGGCCTCTCAGCAAATGCTCCACTCCAGTCCACTCAGCGGGCTGCTCCCAGAGCCCAAGGTGGGGATTAAATAAAATATGCATGAGAGATATAAACTCAAATGCCCCACCGTCTCCACGATGCAAGTCACATAGCAGAAGAAAAACATGTAGGAGCCCTAGTGGCAAGCGCCAGCCCTCAGAAGACACGCTCAAACTCCGTCTGGTTGGTGGTGGCGGGATTGCGACTCTGGTTGGTGGACTGCTGGGTGATCTGACTGCCCTTCCGGCGAGGTGGTGCCAGGTACTCGAACATGGACGTCAGGTGGGTGGAGAGCATGCCCTTGAGGTCAGAGGGCATGGGGTCGGACCAGAAGAAGTCATGGTTGAGGGCATCATCGCTGTCGATGCGCTGGGCAGGGTCCAGCACCAGCAGCTTGTCGATGAGGTCCAGTGCGTATGGGTCACGCACATAGGCCTTCAGCCTGTCCTTCACCTTCCGCTTCTGGCCCTTGACCAGCTCCAGCTTTTCATACAGCTCATAGTTGTCCACATTTGGCCACACCTGGGAGGGAGGGGGCATTGAGAGAGGATGAAGTCCGGCCAGGAGGTACGTGGCTTATCCCTTTGTCAAGGCCTAATAGGACTAAAATACCTGCTCCACTTCGAGGCTCCCAGACTACTACTGGAGAGAGAACTCGACCCCCCCCAAGAGAAGCAGTGCCCGCCACAAATTGGCACATACCATGTGCTAGGCCCTTCTACCCACATCACCTGGAATATAGGCTCCAACCCTGATATACGTCACATTTCTGGTTCACAGAAGAGAAACCCAGCGCTGACTCAGTTGTTCTGCCCAAGGCCACAGAATGGCTGATGGAACCGAGACTGGCGCACAGCCTGTGTGGCTCTCAAGGGCAGGCCCTGTCACCAAACCAGCCTCCCTTCCAGAGAGGAGCGCTCCTTCCATTCCACTCCCCACTCCTCTGCCGGGAGACCGGGACCCCGTACCTCAGGGGTGATGGAGCCGCAGAGCTGACTGATGAGGGCGAGTTGGTGCTGCTCCGTGTTGCCCTGCATGATGGGGCTGCGGGTCCACATCTCTGCCATGATGCACCCAGCACCCCACAGGTCAATGGGGGGGCCGTAGTCCCGCTCCCCTGGGAAGAAGAGCGCACCAGGAGGGCCCCTTGAGCCCGGAGGCCTCCTGAGACTCAACGCCCCAGGGCCGGCAGCTCAAGAAGCCCTGGCAGTGGGGGGGTGGGGGCCAGGTAGATGCCTGGCCCTCACCCCCCTCGGCCCGCTCGGGAGTCCTCACCGAGCAACAGCTCCGGGGGCCGGTACCAGAGTGTCACCACACGGTTGGTATAGCGGTTGGGCTGGCTGTTCTTAGCCAGGCTGAAGGCCCGGGCCAGCCCAAAGTCTGCCAGCTTCAGGACCCCATCACGAGTGATAAGCACGTTAGCAGCCTTCATGTCCCTATGCAGGATCTGCAAGAAGGGCAAGAGTGGCTCCTTCAGCGATATCCACCCGGGAGTGGGAGCCAAGGCCAGCCCAAGCCTGGGTCCTCCTCCCAGCTCTCGCCCCCACCTTGTTCCTGTGGATGTAGTAGAGGCCGTTAAGGAGCATCTGCATCACCCTCTTGATCTCAGACAGCGTGAACTTGACCAAAACATTGCTCAACAGCCCAGCAAGGTCATGCTCGCAGAAGTCGAACACCAGGTATATACTGCCCTTGCAGCGGTTATAGGGTGAAGCTGAGGCAGGAATACAAGCAAGAAAAAGTCAAGAAAGCCACACCCAACACACTTTCCCACAACCAGTTTCCTTCTTCCTGCTCCAACCCATGGGCACCCATGCCCTCCAGAGCATCTGTCTGTTCCTTCCTTCCCTGGTCAAATATTTTCTGAGTGCCTCTTCTGGGCCAGGGCAGGCCCCGAGGAAGCACCAGCTACGATGAAAGAGGACCAGAGAAAGCAGTCACCATGGGTCCATCTGAGTTAAGAGGAGGCAGTTTAGGTAGGTCTAGTTCCAACTTTACAAACAAAACCTTAAGCTACAAGTGTCATCTTTTCGTAAGATCCAAACGACTTACCTTTGGTTCGACAAATCTCAATCAAGTTGACCACATTCTCGTGTTTTAGAAGTTGAAGGATCTTGATCTCCCGCAAGGCGGTAATAGGGAACTGGGTGAGAGAGAGGGGAGAGTGGTCAAGAGTGAGCGCAGTACAGAGCCCAGCTCTGGGGTCTATATTGAGAGGCAAGTTGGGAGACAGAGCAAGATCATGGGCTCTGAAACCAGCTGTCTCAGAAGCTTTGCCTGTAAAATGGATATAGTAGGAGCATGCACACTTCAAGGAGATGATTTGAGACAACAAACTGAAACAGCAATACTTTGCTATTAGCCACTAAATGCTCGGAGGTTTCAGCCTTCAAACTTCAGCTCTATGGCTGTTTCGTTGGCAACAAACATGATGATTTAAAAATGTCCTCGCTAAAGCACATTAGGAAAAGGAAGGTTTATGGGAAGTTGTACTTGAGCTAAGATGGGGTGGAGGGACCGCTCCTTTTAAATACATTAAATAACTGAGTATTAGTCACTTTTCAAAAATTTGCATGCATATGTATCTTTCTTTAACATTAAGCAAATTTAACACTAAAAAAAGGTGTTTATAGGCTTCCTAACTTCGTGAACTAAAGTGCACACGATGCACGCATCAACTCCCCCTCCTGGACTCACCCATAACTGCCTAAGAATGAAGCATTTAGTTTTAGGGTGGAGGCCAAATTCCCTGGAAATTTCTAAACTACTACAAAAAAAATTAAATCTCAACCTGAGACTCCTACAAGCAGCAGGGTGGAAAACCGACCCGGGGTCCTGGGCAGTTAGACGGCTGGCCCGCACGCCGGATCCGTACTCACCCCCTCCTTCTCGTTTTCCATCAGCACCTTCTTCAGAGCCACCTTTTGGCCGGTCTTGCGGTGCCTGGCCTTAAACACCTCCCTGCAGGCGGAAAGGAAGACCCGAGAGCTCATCAGGCGACTTCCGCAGGGCCCGCCCCTCCCCCACTACAGGAGGAGGGGCAGCAGCAAAAAGATTCCCGGGCGGGGCTGAGGTAAGTACCCAGGGCACGCGGCTACCCCGCCACCCGGCACCCTGTCTCGTTCGGAGCCTCTGCTTCCTTCCCTCAGTCCCTTCTCACTTGGGCGTCTCTTGGAGAGATCCCGTTCCCCTCACGGGCGCCTCTCTGCAGCCCCTCCCCGCCCCCACCACGGGCCTCAGGCTCCTCCCCACCAGCCGGCTCCTTCAGGCCGGGGCGGGGTGCAGCGCGGCCTAAAGACCAGTGGGCAAGCCCGGGGACAGATGGTTTCTCTACCAACTCGGGCGGGGCCCGGGACATCCCGACGTCGGCCCTAGGGGTGCAGGCCCAGGGCTCCCGGCCCCGAGGGGCCCAGCCTTACCCGAAGGTGCCTTGGCCGATCTTGGCGAGCTTCTCGTATTTGGAAACTTCATCACAAAAGGGGCACTCCACCGAGTCGTACTGCTTTGCCATGGCCGCCTCCAACGCGCCGCCGCCGCCCCCAGCCGCTGCTGCTGCCGCTCCCGCTCCGGGTCCCGCCGCCGCCGCGCTCCAGGCCCCTCCGCGACCGCGCCACTTCCGCCTCCACGGCCACTTCCGGCCTCGCGGCGCCGACCCCGCCTCTTCCGCCCGCCGCCCGCCGCCAGGCCCCCTGGGACTTGTAGTTCCCGAGAGGCCAGGGGGAGCCGGAGCTGCAGAGGCGCCTCCGCCGCCGCCGCTGCCCCCGCCTCCGCCGCCGCCACTACTGGCGGCGGCCCCGATCGGGGGCGCGGGGAGCCGGGGCGCCGGAGCTGGGGCTCGGGGTGGCGCGTCCCGCTGCATGGGCCCGGGCCGCCGCTGCTGCCGAAGCTGCTGCCGCTCTGGCGCCCGATCCGGGGCCAGCCGCAGTGCCCTGCTCCTCCTCCTCCGACGGCGCCGCCTCCGCCGGGCTGCGCGGGGCGGCGGGCGGGGGGGCAGCCCCCGAGCCGCGGCCTGGGGGCTCCCTGGCCGGGCCCGGGCCCGGGGCGGCCGGGCGAGGGGGCGAGACGGGAAAAGCCGACTAGGAGACGGCCCGAGAGCCCGGGAGGGGGCGCGTTATAAAGGGGGAGGTGTCCGGCCTCGCCCTCCCCTCCTCCTCCGCCCGCCCCCGCCCTCCTCCCTCCCACCCTCCGCGGCCGCACCTGCCGCCGCCGCCACCGCCCGCCCGCCCGCTCGCTGTCCGCCGGCCGCCCTCGGCGCGTCACCGCCCGCGGCCCCTCCTCCGCCTTCGGAGGTGGGGCCCCGCGCTCGGCACCTGGCTGCGGGCGCCCAGCCGCGTGCCTCAGTTTACCCCCACATGCCGGCTGCCGCGGAGAGCCCCTTCCTCCCCGGCTCGGAGTGCCCCCCGCAAGAGGCGAAGGCGGGAGGCGCGGAGGTCCTCCGGCCCTGGGAGGAGAGAACGGCCCCCGCCTCCGCCTCCCCCGGTCCCCGCCACCCTCCGTTGACATGGCAACCGACGGCCGCCAGGGGGCGCGGCGGCACTGGAGGCGACGAGCAAGCAACGCCCGAGCCTTCTATCGCTGGAGCCTGGCTCTCCAGGAGGCAGGGATGGGACCCGCAGGACTCTCGCCTTCGCCGAGTCGCGCCAGAGCTGATCAGGCCCCGGGTCAATAATCGCAAAAAACAGCTACCATTTTCTCAGCACTCTTGCGTGCTAAGGAAGTGCTGGGCGTTCCCGCCGAATCCTGAATCAACAGCCCCATAGTCAGGATCACTAACCCATTTTGCAGAAGAGGACATTGAGGCTCAGAGGTGAGGTCATTTGCCCAAGGTCACACGGCGACAAAGCTGGGACCCGAAGCTGGGTGTCTTGACTGTGAAGGGGATTCACTTGACTCAGGCTATCCGTGGTTGGACCAGGAGGAGAGCATTGGGGAGGCCTGCTGTCCTTATGCAGGCGGGAGCTCACCACTCACCCCCCCCATCTCCCTCCCCCATCGCTCCCATACCTTCGCCTGCATCTTCCTGGCTCCAGCGGCCCCCAGATTCTCCCTCCAGCTCTGCCCAAGGACAGCCTCCAGCAAAGCCGTCTTTTCTACCTCCTTTGCCCCGCTTCAATCTGCCCCCTCCTCTCCAGCCCTCTGCGGGTGGATCCTGAGACCTGGCCCCCCAGTCTGGCCTCTCTGTCCCCGAAGAACCTGAATGTGACATTGGAAGCTCTTTCCAGTTCACACCCCACCCCCCAGGCTGTGGCCATGCAAATATCTCTACTGTCTCCCTAAGCCTTCCTGCGTTCAGGGCGGTTCTCCCCTGATTCCACTCTCCCCTAGACTCTGGATGCCCTCTCTTCCTGCAAGAAGCCCTTAGGGTGGGCGCGGTGGCTCACGCCTGTAATCCCAGCACTTTAGGAGGCCGAGGCAGGCAGATCACAAGGTCAGGAGTTCGAGACCAGCCTGGCCAATATGTTGAAACCCCATCTCTACTAAAAATACAAAACTTAGCCGGGCGTGGTGTTGGGCGCCTGTAGTCCCAGCTACTCAGGAGGCTGAAGCAGGAGAATCGCCTGAACCCAGGAGGTGGAGGTTGCAGTGAGCCGAGGTCTTGCCACTGCACTCCACCCTGGTGACAGAGTGAGACTCCGTCTCAAAAAAAAGCCCTTGGCGTGGCTCCCAGCTCTCACCCCACACTGCTTAGCCTCAAAGCCTCCTAGGAGGAGGCAGGAATGGCTTTGGTGACCTTGATGTCACAAGAGGTCCTCTTCTGGGGAAGGGCATTACCAGGGAGGGGCTGGAAAGTCAGGCTGAGGAGGAAGGAGCCTCTCCTGAGAATAGTGTAGAACCAGAGAGGCAGGGAGAGATGTAGGGTCAGGTTCGTGGGTACACTATTAGAAGCAGGAGGCTGTTAGCTAAATTGGAGGTGGGGAGGATAAGGAGGGAGACCATAAAAATTTTAGTAATGACAATTTATTGATGGAAAATAAATGGTCCCAGCCCTACTTACCACTTTATGAGAATTATCTTGGTTGCCACTCAACCATATGGGTACTGTTGTCACCTCCATTGTACACATCAGGATCCTGAGACTCACAGGTGACATCACTTGGCCTGGGTCAAACAGCTGGTCAGTGACCATACTGGTATTTGAACCAGGTCAGTCTGGCACAAACCCCAGCACTTCCCCATCTCAGGGCCCTGCCCATCTGGCCTAGGGGTGGAGCCACGGCATTGCTGGGGCACGGCACCACTCGTCTGAGCAGTAGCGCGGTGGGTGGGGATCTGTGGTGGGCTTGTGTGGCCTCCACTATCCGACTACAGCTCAAGCCAGGGCCTGCTGTTTCCCATGAGCCCTCCCTAAGTCACATCCTGTGGGCAGAGGCCCTAGCAGAAGTTCCGGTGGAGTTGTCACCTGCACCCCACCATCCCTGGTCTGAACCCCAACATCCGCCTGTCACTTCCCCTTGGGGCCTCAGGGCCTCAGTCCCCACTGTAGGATGCAGGCAGGCAAGAGAGGCAGGAAAGACCGGATGCCTGTCACAAGGCTACCCAGGCTGCCCAGGTCCGGCGCCCCAGATCACCAAGCCGGCAAAACCCAGGCACACGTAAGAAGAAACGAGTGATTTCTCACTGGAAACGTTTCCTGCCTCCCAGGGATCGGCTAAACTGGCAAGGCTGGGCTGGGCATGTGGCCAGTCCTTGGTAGATATCTGCCCCGAGAGAGCTGCTGGTCCTGCTGCCATTTAACAGAGAAGGTGAGGGCAGCACAGTAAAGGGAAGAGCTGGACAGCTGTCTGACCCCAGCCTGGACCCCCTGTTTTCCTCTGAGCAGAGACAGACGGGAAGCATGGGAGAGAAGGAGAAGATGGAGTCATGGAATGGGCTGCTCTTGGCTGCTGGTGCATCTGAAGAGACAGTGGGTCAACTGCATAGCAGGGGTACAGGACAGAGAACAGCCATGTGATACCCACAGCCCTCTAAAATCACAGAAGTTGCCTCCTCCTGCAAAAGGTTCACACCTGTAATCCCACCACTTTTGGAGGAGGAGGCAGGTGAATCACCTGAGGTCAGGAGTTCAAGACCAGTCTGGCCAACATGGTAAAACCCTGTCTCCACTAAAAATAGGAAAATTAGCTGGGCGTGATGGCGCGTGCCTGTAATCCCAGCTACTCAGGAGGCTGAGGCAGAAGAATCACTCGAATCTGGGAGGTGGGGGTTGCCCTGAACCAGGATTGTGCCACTGTACTCCAGTCTGGGCATCAGAGTGAGACTGCATCTCAAAACAATTAAAAAAAAAAAAAAAATCGGCTAGGCGTGGTAGCTCACGCCTGTAATCCCTACACTTTGGGAGGCCGAGGCAGGTGGATCACCTGAGGTCAGGAGTTCAAGACCAACCTGGCCAACAGGATGAAACCCTGTCTCTAATAAAAATACAGAAAATTAACCGGGCACAGTGGCGCCTGTGATCCCAGCTACCCAGGAGGCCAGAGGCAAGAGAATCACTTGAGCCCAGGATGGGGAAGTTGCAGTGAGCTGAGATTGGGCGACTGCACTCCAGCTGGGGCAACAAGAGCGAAACTCCGTTTCCAATCAATCAATCAATCCATCGCAGAAGTTCTGCCCACACTAGCCAGGAACTGACTCAGTGCCTGGCCTGGGGCTGACTTGCGTTGTCTCCCTGAAACTCTGCAGCACCCCTATGAGGAGGTTGCTATTACTAGACCCAAGTTACAAAAGGGGAAATTGAGGACCAGATTGGTGTGGCCTGCCCCAGGCTCCACAGCCAGGAAGCTATGAAGCTGAGATTCAAAGCCAGGTCTCTTTACTCTTAAAGCCCAGGGTCCTTTGCCATCAGCCCACACTGTCCCCAGTGTCAGATCAGCTGAGGGGGAAGCATGATCCAGTCCTCATATGGAAGGGGCCCTGGCCTCTCTCAGAAGGCTTCAGGTCTGTTTGGAATATGCAAATAAGGACACAAGGGAATTAAATCAAAATTATACTCTTGGTATAAATATTTTATTTCACTGCCATGAGATCATGTAAGGGATGTTATATTCTGTTTTTCTGATGGGGAAAAAAAAAGAGAGAGGCTCAGAAAGGTGCCATGACTTGTCCAAGGTCATGGAGGTAGGGATTGAACCCAGAATTGCATGGGTCTGATGCCTTTGACGATGAAGTTTAAGGTCTCCAACTCTTCATGGTACCTGCCCTGTCCGTGAGCCTGTCTTCTCTGTCCTCTCCATAGGCCCCCACCACACTGTCCCTGCTTGAGTCACAGACTGAGGAAGAGGGGCAAGGATAGGGGACAGAAGTGAGAGCAGGGGGGCTGGGTGCCGCGGCTCACGCCTGTAATCCCAGCACTTTGAGAGGCTGAAGCTGGAGGATCACCTGAGATCAGGAGTTCCAGACCAGCCTGACCAACATAGTGAAACCCCGCCTCTACTAAAAAATAAATAAATAAATAGCCGGGCGTGGTGGGGCGCGCCTGTAATTTCAGCTACTAGGGAGGTTGAGGCAGGAGAATTCCTTAAACCCAGAAGGCGGAGGTTGTGGTGCTAAGATAGCACCACTGAACTCTAGCCTGGAGCTTCTTTTTTTTTTTAATTGAGATGGAGTCTCGCTCTGTCCCTCAGGCTGGAGTACAGTGGCGCGATCTCGGTTCACGGGCAGCTCCGCCTCCCGGGTTCACGCCATTCTCCTGCGTCAGCCTTCCCAATAGCTGGGACCACAGGCGCCCGCCACCACGTCCCGCTAATTTTTTTGTATTTTTAGTAGAGACGGGGTTTCACTGTGTTAGCCAGGATGATCTCAATCTCCTGACCTTGTGGTCCGTCTGCCTCAGCCTCCCAAAGTGCTGGGATTATAGGCATGAGCCACCATGCCCGGCCAGAGCTTTTGTTTTTTTAAGTTTCTGTCTGCAGTTTTTTTAAGACTCTGTCAAAAAAAAAAAAAAAAAAAAAAAAAAAAGAAATGAATTCAGGGATCCTAGGGCCCTATAGCCTCAAGCCAACCTGGAGGGATCCCAAGGAGGCAAAAACCTGAGGCGGGTGGGGCGAGCCTGAGCAAAAGGCCTGGAGGTTGGAAAGCACTCAGGGATGTTCAGGGCAGGACAAGCTGAAGAGCTCCCGCAGGACAGCCACCCGCCGGCAGGTCCTCGGCTGCACTCCTAACGGCCACTCCAGGCAGCACAAAGGGGGCTCTGAGCTCAGCGGAGCCACCACACTGAGCCCTATTCATTCTCCTAGGGGTGCCAGAAACTGCCCTGGCGCCCGGGCCAAGAGCAGACGGGCCCCAGCACTGACGAGGTGCCTCTGCCGCAGCAACACAGCATCTCTGTGGTTGGGATTCCCAGGTCTCATGCCTTGTGCGTGCCTGTCAGGATTCCCTGTCCTGTGCCAATCTGCCCCTTATCTGTGCCTATCTCTCAGCAACCACAGCCAGGGCTCGCGGAGGCTGGAGCTGCGTTTGCCTCTCTCGCCCTCCCAACAACCCAAGGAAGTGGGGGCTGCTGTGGGTGCATTTCACAGATGAGGAAACTGTGGCCCAGAGAGGCAAAGTGTCTTGTGCAGGATCACATAGCAAGTCAGGAGCAGGTCTGGCCAGGAAGCAGCATAGCCTTGGCAGCTAACCCAAGTCACACTGCAACCCCCTCCCAGGAGAGAAGCCGGGGACTTACCTCCTATCTTCCGCTAGGGGATACCAGCCGGGGAGTTAGGACACTTGGTTGTCGGTCTGTCCATTGTCTGCCTCTGCTTTTTGTTTTGTTTTGTTTTGAGACGGAGTCTTGCTCTTTCACCCAGACTGGAGTGCAATGGCACGATCTCGGTTCACTGCAACTTCTGCCTCCCAGGTTCAAGCAATTCTCCTGCTTCAGCCTCCTGAGTAGCTGGGATTACAGGCACCCGCCACCACGCCCAGCTAATTTTTGTATTTTTAGTAGAGACAGGGTTTCACCATGTTGATCAGGCTGGTCTCGAACCCCTGACCTCGTGATCCACCCACCTCGGCCTCCCAAAGTGCTGGGATTACAGGCATGAGCCACCGTGACCGGCCCTTTTTTTTTTTTTTTTTTGGGTAGGGTCTCCCTCTGTCGCTAGGCTGGAGTGCAGTGGTGGGATCTCGGCTCACTGCAACTTTTGCCTCCCTGGTTCAAGCAGTTCTCCTGCCTCAGCCTCCCGAGTAGCTGGGAATACAGGTGCACACCACCACACCCGGCTAATTTTTTAAAATGTATTTTTAGTAGAGACGAGGTTTCACTGTGTTGGCCAGGCTGTGCTCAAACCCCTGACTTCAGGTGATCCACCTGCCTCGGCCTCCCAAGATGCTGGAATTGCAGGTGTGAGCCACCATGCCCACCCTGGGGCTGTTACTGTTAATGGAGGATGCAGGAAGTGCCCTATCAGATGGCAGTGGACTCCTCTCACAGCCCGGGTTGCCATCCTGGGGTCCAAGATAAAATGCCGAAACCCTGCAGGTTGGCTGCATACCTCCCACTTCTCCCCATTCTAGAAATCAGGTGACTGAAGCTTCGGAGGTGGAAGTAGCTGGGATTGGAAGCCCTGGGTCTTGGGCCCCGCCCCAAGCCCCAGCAGCTGCTGACACCCTTTGCAGATGTTCAGGATGACCGTGGAGGGGAGGTTGCATTTCCTCATCGTGGTCTGCCCACCTGAGCCTGCACACACGGTAATCTTGTAGTGTGGAAAGGCACCAGCCCATGGGTTAAGGGGCCTAGAAGGGAGAGTTGTGACCCAGTCTGGGCCAGCAACCAGCTGTGTTACCTGGGGGAATCCCTCTGCCTCTCTGTGCCTCGGTTTCACCATCTCTGTCCAGTGGGTACAGTGGACCACATGATGACATCTCCCTGATAGCTTGGAAAGCGGTGACTGTGCTTTGGTAGGCACCGATTCTGTGCCAGGCCCTACACCAACGGCTGAAGCTGGTGAAGTGATCACTGCAAGTACCCCCGGTTCACAGGGAGGACATCACACCGTGGCAAAATGGCCAGCCAAGAGTGGAACTTGGGTCTGGGTGGCCCAGAGTCCACAGGCCTCATCACAGCTCTCTCCAATCTGCGGCTGCCAGTCCCTCTCCTGGGTACAGAGGCTGAGAAGCAACTGCCCTGCACACAGGCCTGACTCCCCTCACCTTCCCAGCCCGATGACCAGGCCCCCTGACAGCTGTTGGCAGATCCCCAGCGGCCCCCAGCCCACTGGGCTCTGTTCCCAGAGCCTGCGGCCTGCTCCTTAGACCTTCCAGGTCCCACGGGCTTGTGGTCTGCCCCCTGCCCCTGCTGCTGAGGCCAAGGAGGCGGCCCACAGGGGCCGGGGCTAGGAGAGGCCCCAGCCCCCGCCCCCTGCGGAGAGGGTGGGGAGGGTGGAGCTGTGGGAGTTTCACTGGTTTAAAAATACACAGAGGAAGCGAGTGAGAGAAAGGGGAAGGGGAGGTGGGAGAGGCACCTCAACTTTGATGTCCAGAGCCTTGAGCGGCCACTCGAAAGCTGGCCAAGGGCTTCACACAACTTGCCAAGATGACAGAGGGGACCAAGAAGACCAGCAAAAAGTTCAGTGAGTGCGGGGTGCCGTCTTCACTGTCCTCCATCCCTGGCTGTCCTCTGGGCCTCTCTCTGCATCTGTTTCTTCATCACTGTCTTCATTTCCGTTTCTCTCTCTCTCACTGTTTTTCTTTTTTTGTTTTTACCTTTGGACGCCAGGGTCTCTGTCACCCAGGCTGGGGTGCAGTGGCACAATCTCGGCTCACTGCAGTCTTGACCTCCGAGGCTCAAGTGATCCTCCCACCTCAGCCTCTTAAGTAGCTAGGCAAGTAGTTAGGACTCCAGGCACAATTTAACTTTTTTTTTTTTGGCTGGGTGCGGTGGTGGCTCACGCCTGTAATCCCAGCACTTGGGGAGGCCGAGGCCGGGGGATCACCTGAGGTCAGGAGTTCAAGACCAGCCTGGCCAATGTGGTGAAACCCATCTCTACTAAAAATACAAAAAATTAGCCGGGTGTGGTGGCAAGCACCTGTAATCCCAGCTACTCAAGAGGTTGAGGCAGAAGAAACGCTTGAACCCGGGAAGTGGAGATTGCAGTGAGATTGCACCACTGCACTCCAACCTGGGCGATACAGCAAGACTGCATCTCAAAAAATAAGTAAATATAAAAAAATAAGTAAACAATAAAATTGATTTTTTTGTTTTTTTTTGTAGAGTCCGGGGTGGGGACTTTGTTGCCCAGGCTGGTCTGGATCTCCTGGACTCAAGCGATCCTCCTGTTTCCAGCCTTGTTTCTCTTTCTCTTTGTCCATCACTATCTCTCTGCAGACGTCTCTGCTTCTGGGCGTCCCCGTGGCTTTCTAGCTGTCATTCTGACCTAGCATCTCTCTCTCTCTCTCTCTGACTCATTGACTTCGTTCTCCATCTCTGTGCTTCTCTTGTCTCTGTCTCTTTGTCTCCCCACTGTGTCTTTCGATCTCTGCAGTCCACTGTGTCTCTGGCTGTCTCTGACCTCGCAGCTGGGCAGGGGAGGGCTTCGCACACTCCATCCCCCGCCCACAGGCCTGGGCTCACATGGGATCCCAGGTGGGGAGTTACTGGGGCGGCAGGGGGATGCGGGTGTCATGGGATCCCAGGTGGGGAGTTACTGGGGCGGCAGGGGGATGGGGGTGTCATGGGATCCCAGGTGGGGAGTTACTGGGGTGGCAGGGGGATGGGGGTGTCATGGGATCCCAGGTGGGGAGTTACTGGGGTGGCAGGGGGATGGGGGTGTCCTGGGATGCTGTCCCACATTCCCAACAGCAGTGAGGCTGGGAGCCGATATTTGGGTAGGGAAAGAGCCCAGAACTACTAGAACCAGGCTCCAGGGTGAGGGGCCACACTGGCCCACTGCTCTGTTTTCCTGTATCTGTCCTTCCCAGTCCCAGCAAACTTTTTCTGTCTCCTGATTCCTTTGATCTGACCCCACCAGGGTGGGGGACAGGTGGTGTAAAGGGCAGCGATTATGACTACATTTCCCAGAGGGCAATGCTGAGGCCTGGAGACTTGCCTGAGGTCACACCAGCTATTGAGCAGGGCCCAATCCCAGACCCTGGACTCTGGGCCTCAGTTTCCCTCCCGGCCCCCACTATCTCCTCCAAACGCCTGGTGCCCAGGAGGCAAAACCAGTGATGCTGAGAAAGAAGGTGGTTGGGGGTCCTCCCTCTGGCCACTGATGCAATTTCCACCCCCACCGCATGCAGCGGAAGGGCAGAGCGGCCACATTTGTGACCACGTTTCTCGGGAGACCAAAGCAATAATCAAATGGGGCTAGCAGGGCTGGGAAGCAAACCCCTGAGCACTGACCCAGCTGTGCCGAGCCCTTGGCCTGTGTCCAGGCTCAGCCGTGGCCTTGCTGTGTGACCCTGGGGGAGTCCCTCCCCATCCCTGGACCTCAGTTTCCTCCCTTGTCAACTGGGGGCATCCTACCTGCATCCCAGCGCGGGTGCGAGCAGCTGAGGAGGTGGAGGATGCTGAGGACGTGGAAAATGCTAGTGTTTTTCCTTTTTGCTCATCTGGGGGCTATGGGGAAGTCAGTTGGTGGTAGCTGTGAGAAGGGACAGTCCCACAGCTGAGGGCAGGGGTAGGGAACTCACATGCACCCCTGTGGAAACCAGGAGATGGTATCACCCCAGCCGTTCCTCTTGAGTCTGGAACTGGGCTCAGCTGACAGGAAGGAGAGAACCACAGACAGTGCGACCCTCAGGCTCGCAACAACCCCCTCCTCATTTCACCCCCACCCCAGGTGCACAGAGGCTGGCTGGAACACGCCCCAACCCCCGATACGAGCACAAAACACGAATACCTGCTCCACCTACCAGCAGCGTGACCTCAGTTCATCACACTGCTCTGAATCTCAATTTTCACATCTGGAAAATGGGAATTAAACTGTGTCACCGAGTTATGCTGAGAATTCATGCAGCACATGTTTGCAGATGCAGAATCATTTTCAGAAATTTTAAAATTATTATTATCAGTGGCCGGGCGCGGTGGCTCACCCCTGTAATCCCAACACTTTTGGAGGCTGAGGTGGGTGGATCCCTTGAGGTCAGGAGTTTGAGACCAGCCTGGCCAACATGGTGAAACCCTGTCTCTACTAAAAGTACAAAAATCAGCCGGGTGTGGTGGCACGTGCCTGTAATCCCAGCTACTCGGGAGGCTGAGGCAGGAGAATCGCTTTAACCCAGGAAGTGGAGGTTGCAGTGAGCCAAGATTGCACCACTGCACTCCAGCCTGGGTGACAGAGCGAGACCCTGTCTCAAAAGAAAAAATAATAAATACATAAATAATTATTACTATTAGAGACAGGTTCTTGCTCTGTCGCCCAGACTGGAGTGCAGTGGTGCCATCATAGTGCACGGCAATCTTGAACTCCTGGGCTTAAGCCATCCTCCTGCCTCAGCCTCCCAACTAGCTGGGATTACAGGCACACACCAGCACATCCAGCTAACTTTATTTATTTATTTATTTATTTAGAGATGGAGTCTTGCTCTTGTCGCCCAGGTTGGAGTGCAATGGTGTAATCTCGGCTCACTGCAACCTCCACCTCTAGGGTTCAGGCAATTATCCTGCCTTAGCCTCCCAAGTAGCTGAGATTACAGACATGCACCACCATGCCTGGCTAACTTTTGTATTTTTAGTACAGACAGGTTTTCACCATGTTGACCGGGCTGGTCTCAAACTCCTGACCTCAGGTGATCCACCCACCTCAGCCTCCCAAAGTGCTGGGATCACAGGCATGAACCACGGCACCCGGCCTTACTTTTTTATTTTTTGTAGAGACAGGGTCTTGCTATGTTGTCCAGGCTGGTCTCGAACTCCTGACCTCAGGTGATCCACCCGCATCAGCCTCCCAAAGTGCTGGGATTACAGGCATGAGCCACCATGCCTGGCCTAAGCTTTTCTTTAATTCTCACATTGCCCTAGGAGGTATGTGTTGGAATCTCTATTTTACTGATGTGGAGAATGAGGTTCAGCTCAGAGAGGTCAAGTGACTTGCCTAAGGTCACACAGCTAGGATGTGAAAGAGCAGGAATTTAAGTCCAGGACTATGTGATCCCAAAGCTCCCATCTTATACCACTTCCAGGGGTGTGTTAACAATTAGAAGGGGTGTCCAGGAAGCCCCCAGCCCTCTTTAGCCCCTCACCGAGTGAAACTGCAGGAATTGTTCATTATTATTACTGATGTTGACATTGTGATTACCTTCTTTTCCTTCCCTTCCCCTCTGCTAGAGTTCTTCAAGTTCAAGGGCTTTGGGAGTCTCTCCAACCTCCCTCGGTCCTTCACTCTGAGACGATCCTTAGCTCCCATCAGTAGGCAGTCCCATTTGGAGCCTGACACCTTTGAAGCCACGCAGGATGACATGGTGACGGTGCCCAAGAGTCCCCCAGCCTATGCCCGCTCCAGTGACATGTACAGCCACATGGGCACCATGCCTCGCCCCAGCATCAAGAAAGCACAGAACTCACAGGCTGTCCGGCAGGCCCAGGAGGTGGGTCCCAAGCCCAACCTGGTACCCCGAGGTGTACCCGACCCCCCAGGCTTGGAGGCAGCCAAGGAGGTGATGGTGAAGGCCAATGGCCCTCTAGAGGACATCCCAGCAATGGAACCCAACCCTTCAGCAGTGGAGGTAGACCCCATCAGAAAGCCCGAGGTCCCCACAGGAGACACAGAAGAGGAGAGACCTCCCAGGGACGTGCACTCAGAAAGGTAGGTGCCTAGGGACTGGTTGGGACCTGCAGGGATGGCTTCTGTTTTTTTTTTCTTTTTTTCTTTTTGACACGGAGTGTTGCTCTGTCTCTCAGGCTGGAGTGTAGTGGCATGATCCTGGCTCACTGCAACCTCTGCCTCCCCGGTTCAAACGATTCTCCTGCCTCAGCCCCCTGAGCAGCTGGGACCGCAGGCGCCAGTCACCACGCCCGGCTAATTTTTGTATTTTAAGTAGAGACAGGGTTTCACCATGTTGGCCAGGCTGGCCTCGAACTCCTGACCTCAGGTGATCTGCCCGCCTTGGCCTCCCAAAGTGCTGGGATTACAGGCATGAGCCACCGCGCCTGGGCTTCTTTTAAACCCAGTACACATCTGGGTTAAAAAGAAAAAAACCTACACATTGACCAGGTGCTTACTGTAGACCAGGCACTGTGATAAACCCTTTACTTGTAATTAGCAAAATAAGACTGGCAAGGCGAGACTGTTACTGTTTCCATAGGACAGATGAGGAAGCTGAGATTCACATAGTGATGTCATCTGCCTCAGTCAGGGTGCACATTTGCTAATGACAAAGCCAGCATGTGAACCGAGACCCCCCTGCCTCCAAAGCCCCAGTCAGTCTCTAGCACGGGCCCTCAGCTGCTGGATGGATCCTAAACCCAGTCATTAGACCCCTGCCCTGAACCCCCTCACCCAAATCATCACCATTAGTTTTGCTGGACAATACCTTCACCTAGTCTAGAAAACCATTTGTTAGCTTAGTTTGGTTATAGGGTGAGTTGAGTTCATGCAAAAATACAAATTGTGATAACAGGACAATAGCTCCCATTTAGTAAGCATTTTTACCGGGTATCAGAACAAATATCTCCCTGAAAACTCAGTAGAAGATTCAGTCATTAAGGCTGGGTGCAGTGTCTCATGCCTGTAATCCCAGTATTTTGAGAGGCTAGGAGTTTGAGACCAGCCTGGCCAACATGGTGAAACCCTATCTCTACTGAAAATACAAAAACTAGCAAGACGTGGTGGCATGTGCCTGTAATCCCAGTTACTAGGGAGGTGGAGGCATGAGAATTGCTTGAACTCGGGAGGTGGAGGTTACAGTGAGCCGAGATCATGCCACTGTGCTCCAGACTCGGCCACAGAGCAAGACTCACTCTCGGAAAAAAAAAAAAAAGATTCAATTATTAGCCCCATTTACAGATTGGGAAACTGAGACTCAACCAAGGTTACGCAGAGCTGGGATTTGAGCAGGAATCTGCTTGCCTCCAGAGGCTGCACACTTATGTACCACATTGGACTCACCACCTTGTCAACCCTAGGGCCATGTCTTTCACATCCCTGGAGACCCCTCTATCCCAGCCAAAGGCGTCCCTAACTTTTCAATCCTTAGAACCTTTGTATCGCTGGGCGCGGTGGCTCACGCCTGTAATCCCAGCACTTTGGGAGGCTGAGGCGGGCAGATCACAAGGTCAGGAGATCGAGACCATCCTGGCTAACACGGTGAAACCCCGTCTCTACTAAAAATACAAAAAATTAGCCGGGTGTGGTGGCGGGCGCCTGTGGTCCCAGCTACTCGGGAGGCTGAGGCAGGAGAATGGCGTGGGACCGGGAGGCGGTGCTTGCAGTGAGCCAACATCGTGCCACTGCACTCCAGCCTGGGCGAGAGAGCGAGACTCTGTCTCAAAAAACAACAACAACAACAACAACAACAACAAAAAACCTTTGTATCAACCACAGCAGTCACATGTGCCTGTCGAAATAAAGAAAAAAAGTCAGCTGGCCAGGCACAGTGGCTCACGCCTGTAATCCCAACACTTTGGGTGGCCGAGGTAGGCAGATCACGAGGTCAGGAGTTTGAGACCAGCCTGGCCAAAGAGACCAGCCCGACCAACATGGTGTAACCCTATCTCTACTAAAAATACAAAAATTAGCCGGGCGTGGTGGCACGCACCTGTAATCCCAGCTACTCGGGAAGCTGAGGCAGGAGAATTGCCTGAACCTGGGAGGCAGAGGTTGCAGTGAGCCAAGATGGCGCCATTGCACTCCAGCCTGGGTGACAGAGTGAGACTCCAACTCAAAAAAAAATAAATCAAAAGCCAGCTGAGCAAAAGTAATTGTAGGGCCAGTTCTGGGACCTTTTTCTTTCTTTCTTTTTCTGGTAACTTTCTTGAGCAGCTTTTCCCTGAGACACCAAGCACAGCCTCTGTCTCTGAGCTGTAATTGCCTAGACCCCTGATCAGCGAAGAGGACCATGTAAAGGGGTAGAGTGAATCCAGTCCAGATTCTGCCTCTTACTGGCTGCATGAGTGGACAAATCTGCTCCTCTCTTGGAGCTTCAGTTTCTCATCTGATAAATGGACATAACAATAGCACCTACCTGGTCGGGTTGTGGTGAGGATTCAAGAACAACATACCTGTAAAATCCCAACACAGTGGCTGGCATGCTGCACTCAGTAAATGGGAACGCTATATTTACGATTAATAGAACTCATGTTTTTCCACCATCCCTGGCTGCCTTCTGCCATCCCCTCCTACATTCGCCCTCATTCGGGAATAGAGGACCAAGGATTGTATGTAGGGGAGAGGGCTTGATGATGGGTCCCGGGGCGTTCTAAGGCACCCCAAGGTATGAGACTGCACCAGGAGCCTGGCCCCTCCCACTCAGGGAAGCCGAGTTTCGCGGGAGCGGAGCGGGGCGGGGTGGGGCGAGGCGAGGCGGAGTTGAGGGCGTGTATAGGGGCGTGGCCTAACCCAGGCTGCGCGGAGAGCTGTTGGGGAAGCGAGCTTCGGTGCCTGGCGGGCGAGGCGGAGGGGTGTGCTAGGGGGCGCGGCCTTCCCAACACGGACTGATGGGGAGGGGGCGGAGCGAGACCGGAGGCGGAGAGCCGTGTCCGAGGCGGGTAGCGTCCTTCACTGCCTGTGGAGTGGGCGGTGGAGCGGGGCCAGGCAAGGAGCGCAGGGGCGTGTCTGGGGGCGTGGTCTACAGGTCAGTCTCCGCCCCCGGAATCCGGCACTGAACTCCGCAGCCCCGTGGCCTGAGAAAGGCGAGAGCCGCTGAGCTTAGGAGGTCCCCGGGCTGCAGGCGGCGACAGCGGGGGAAGCATGACTGCTGTGGGCCGAAGGTGCCCCGCGCTGGGGTCCCGAAGGTGAGTGACCGAGCTGGGCCTGAGGAGGGCCGGCGGGGAGCAGGAGAGGTCGAAGGAGGAAATCTGCACCCCTGGGGCAACTGACAAATTTGGGGGTGGGGTTAGCATCAGGGACTTTTCTAAGCCAGCTTTCTTTGGGTGTAATTTTATCACCGCAGGTCAGGCATCTGCTTATCTACTCTACACAACAGCTCCAGGAGAGAGGTACTATTATCACCCCCATTTTATAGATGAGGAAAGAAAGACTTGCCTGCTGAATTTGACACAGCCGGTGAGCGTCAGAATCAGGGTTTAATCCCAGCTTCCTGGCCCATGCTTTTAACACCTGGGCAACACATCCCTCTCCAGCAGGGCTAGGGCCGCTGAGAATGGCAAGTCCAGGACCCAGCCCAAGCCTTCTTGCTCTGTGGACAGAGCCCTGGTGGGCCTAGCAGTGCTTCTGGCATCATGCTTAGCCAGGAGCTGACCAAGGAAATGGAGACTCTTTCCCTCCAGCATCTGGAGTGTCCCGGGGAGGATGGGGTTAGCAGACCAGATTGAGCCCCCTTCTGGTGCCCCGGGACCCAGTGCTCCATCTGCACTGGTGGCTCACGGTTGAACATTCCTTCCAGAAGTCCCTGAACCTCAGCCCTGTGCCCTGGAGTTGGGGGAGAGGCCTGGTCCGTGAGATCTCAGACTAGCCCTGCCCCACTCTGGTCCTCAGTCTCCCCAGTAGTTCAGATGGGCCTGAGATGGTCTCTGAGGATCCATCCAGTTTGAGGAGGAGGACATTAGGGAATTGCCATTGAGCAAGTTCGGGGGCCCTGTTCCTGAGTGTCCAGAGGAGGCTGTCCCAGGCCTAAGCTGGGGAGACAGTATCCCTCCCCCACCCCTGGGGAGGCAGGGTGCACCTGGAGCAGGAGGAAGGAAGGGGAAAAGGTGAGACTGCAGGGGTTTCCTGGTGTCCTCTTCCCTGCTGAGATCATGGGGATGAAGAGGAAGGAGGGAGGAGGGACCTTTAGCTCCCCTCTCAAAAAAAAGGAAAGCACCAGCCTAGCCTGCCTCCTACCTCCCAAGGACCCTCAGTCTTCTGCAGGTCCCAGAGAGGCACCCTCGCTCCTCAATCCGTCTTACAGAGGAGGAAGCAGAAGCCTGGAGAGGGACAGGAAGCCCCAGCACTCCCTACCCCATGCCCACCCACACTGGAATTGTCAGGCGAGGGTCCCGCCAGGCATGATCACCAGCTGACAACAAGCGAGCACCTGACAGGTGTTGTCTAGCTCATGGGGCCTGTGAGGTGGGAGCCTCTACTTGCTCCATTTTGCCAGTGAGGAGACTGAGGCTCAGAGAGGGGAAGGGACTCTCCTGGGGTCACAGAGAAATTGGGTGTCAGGCCTGACACCTGAAGCTTAAGAGCTTCAGCTCCTAAGCCCAAGCTCTTAACCACTAGGTCACATTTCCCCTCCTGCAAGTAAAAATCTCAAAGCTTTTTATTTTATTTTATTTTATTTATTTATTTATTTATTTATTTGAGATGGAGTTTCACTCTTGTTGTCCAGGCTGGAGTGCAATGGCGTGATCTCGGCTCTCTGCAACCTCCGCCTCCTGGGTTCAAGTATTTCTCCTGCCTCAGCCTCCCGAGTAGCTGGGATTACAGGCATGTGCCACTACGCCTGGCTAATTTTTTTTTTTTTTTTTTTTTTTTGTATTTTTAGTAGAGACGGAGTTTCTCCATGTTAGTCAGGCTGATCTCGAACTCCTGACCTCAGGTGATCTGCCCGCCTCTGCCTCCCAAAATGCTGGGATTATAGGCGTGAGCCACTGTGCCCAGCCAGCTTTTTCTACCATTATTTCAAATGACTTCCCATGACCCCC